TGTTCTGTGGAACAGTATCCACATGGATCCAGAACCCTGACTGCTTCCACCTTCTTATGTGGATCACTAGCCACAAAGATGGGCAGGGGGATTCAAAATCCTTCTGGCACAACCAGGGCCAGAATCAGCACCGCCTGCTTTGCTGTTTTTAAACAAACACGGAGCTGCTGCTGGACTGTGTAAGCCCAGCATTCCACACACCTCCCAGAGCAGTGTCCCACCGGCTTCTCCTCCATCCTGGGGGGAACAGCCCAGCTGGGGACAGCAAACCCAGCACGGAGCTGCTCAATTCTGCCCAGGCTCAGGAAGTGACCAGGGAAAATCAGGATGCGACAAGGGCTGCTCAGTGGCTACTGAAGTTTAGAACTACCGTAGTTGTAGGATTAAGGAATTCATTCCACTCACGTTCCTGGGGAAGGGGGGTGAGGAGACACGAGGAGATGTATTTATAAAACAAAATTCTGAAGGCTTAGTACTTGCCTCGTGTCCTCCTTCCTTCTCCTTCCCACGCAAGTACGAGTGCTGCTCGATGGCATCCAGCACCTACAGCAAATCATTTCCCCGTGTCATTAAAAGGACAGAGACATCTGCTCGCACCAGACCTACGTCATTGCTTCCAACTCCGCTCAAAGCTGACAGAAACGCAGCTCCCTGTTCCCCTGAATTCCCCAGGTCACATTCCAGCTCACAGACGGATCTCGGGGCAATCCCAGCGGAGCAGCGCCCGAGCCGTGCCCGGCTCCAGGTGACGGCAGGCGGCCGCTCTCCCTCCTCTCCTCACGCTCCAGCCGGGGCGTTCCCGTCCGCTCGGGGCTGCTCTGCCGGAGCTCCGACTTCCACAGAGCTCGCGGGGACAGCTCCCGGCACACGGGAGAGAGGTAAGGAACGAGGGAGCGAAGGAAGAAGGGCAAGAAGGAGCGGCTGTTCCCGGTCCCCCGGCACGAGGTGCGGGGCAGCTGCCCTCGTCCTGCCCCCGGCCGGGCTCTCTCAGACCCTCACACCCCACACTCGCAGCCCCGCGGGAGCTGCCCCGACCCCGAGCAGCCCCGGGCGGACCCCGCCATGAGACACCCCGGGACAGCCGGCACCGAGCGCTCCGCAAAGTGCCTCTTTTAGCCCCAAACGCGCTGCCAGCCCCAGCGCTGCCCGCTGCCCTCCGCGCCCCGGCGGGACCCGCCTGTCAGCGGCGCCGCTCCCGCTGCCGGTGCCTCACCTGGTGCCGGCCGGCGGCAGCGAGCCACGTCCGCGGGGCCCGGGCGGGGAGGGACGAGGAGAGGAGGAGAAGAAGGAGGAGGAGAAGGAGAGGGGGACGGAGCGTGTCCGCCGGGCCGTGCCCGTCACCGTCGCTTCCTGCCCGGCCCCGCTCGGCGCTCGGCTACTCCGCCTGGCAGCTCAGGCCGGGCCGCTGAGCTGCGCCGCCTTACGGAGCGCGCCGCCCGCGCCATCGGCGTTCGATTGAGCCGGCTGCGCGGCCCCGTGGCGGGAGCGGGGGCTCTGAGGGAGGGGGAACGGCGGGATCAGGGTGTGCGTGTGGGGCTGTTAGCGGCTGCAGCTGCATCGGCTGGGGGTGTTTGTGTCGGGGCTCAGGTGTGCGTGAGGGGTGTTAGGGCCCATAGTGCTCTCAGGTGTGCATGGGGGTTGTTGGGCCCACAGCGGGTTCAGGTGTGTGTGAGGGACTTACGGACCTACAGTGGTTTCATGGGGCCGAGGGACCGAGCGCTGTAGTAGCCTCAGGTGTAGGGAGGGGAGCGGGATGTTGAGGTCTACAGTGGTCTCAAGTATGAGGAATGGATGTTGGGGTCCATATCAGGCTCAGGTGTGTGTGTATAGAGGGGTGTCAGGGGCCATCATTAGTTCTGAGGTGTTTGTGTACACTGGCAGGGTCTGTAGTGGTCTCAAATGTGTGTGTGTTGGGGCCCACAACCAGCTCCTGTGCGAGGGGACAGTGTTTGGGTGCAGTAAAAAGGCATCTCTGGGTCTTCAGTCTGGTGCTGCAGGTGTTGGGGGAGCCCTGACAGGGACTGTGTGTCCTGTGGCACGTCCCAGCAGGAAGAGGCCCCTGGTACCCAAACAGGAGCAGCTGTGATTTGGCAGCAAAGCCCCAAAGGAAAAGGAACTGTAGCAGGGGTTGAGAGCTCTGGGTTAGGAGTTGCTCAGAGCAGAGGCAGGGTAAGGTGAGTTCATGCTGTTTCTGCCACACTTGGTGGTTCCCCACAGCCTCTAAACCTAAGCACTTCATAGCTGTAGAGGCCTATTTGACAGGGGGGGTTAATTACTTTATTTTTGTAAATAAAACTGAAGGAGCAGAGCTTTATCTGCCAGTACCTGGTGCAGCCTCATTCTGCCAACTTGCTCCTGACAGCTGTTCCCCTTCTTGGGCTTCTAGAAGCATCCTCAGAGAGCTGTGTGAAACCACAGGTACAGAAACCTGAGAGCCCCGAGTCCCAGGTGAGGAGGGGTGGTGGTGTGTCCTGTGCCTCAGAGGCCAAGGTACAATACCAGCTGTCCTCATTGTAGTCGAGTAATTTCACACAATGAGTTTCCTGTTTATAAGCTGAGCTTCACAATCTGATTTTTGCCCTGCGTTTCTTACAAACGGAAAGAAGAGCACAGTGAGCACGACTCATCTGTCAGCAGCTCTGTGAAAAGCTGATGCTGAGCAAGCAGGAGGCAGAGATCTCTCCCCAAACCGAGCGCGTACAAAGCACTGAGTGAGTTGTGACGAGAACAACATCTCCGATGGAAGCACGAGCCAAGAACAACAGCTCGACAGGGAACTTTACACTTTCCCTGACAGCTCCTTGGGGTGGAGACAGTTAAGTTTCTGCGTTTGTAAGGGAAACATGGCATTCCTTAAAGCTGAGCCTCCTCCCTCGGGTTCCCACTGAATGCCTGAGAGATGACAGCAGAGGGTGTCTCCAGCAGGCTCCTATTAAACAGGAGGAATTAGCACGGAGGGAGCAAGAGCGAGATCCCAGTTTTGACCACAGAGTGAGCAAAAAAGCTTTGCATCAGCAGCAGTTTGCAGTTTTTTTACCCACTGACTGCACACAGCTCCTCTTCAGGGGGTTCCTGTGCTCTCGTGTTGGTGCCTGCACCTGTCCGATGTGCGAAGGGCTGTGCTGGGAGGGCAGACCAGCTCCAAACAGAAAGTGCTGAGGCAGCAGTGAGGCAGGACAGATGATCCTTGGGAGGGCAGTTATGGTTCAGACACACTTGGAACTGGTTTGATATCCCCAGCAGCACAAACCCGGCTGGCCGGGGAGCTGGTGAGCCGAGTATGTGGACAGATGGAATAGATACAGACAGGAAATGGGGGAGAAAGGGGAAATATTAGTGTTTGTACAGCCCCGAGGAGGCTCTGGTTAGTTCTCGAGTCCTTCAGTCCCATTTCTATTTTTAGCTCAGTCACTGGCTGGCTTTGGGGAGCGATTGGAGGAGTTCGAGCCAGGTGTGAGTGCGGGGAGAGGACAAACCTCTGGGCACCAGGCAGCTCATGCGATGTGGCAGCCGCCACCACGCCCTTTCCTATTCACCCCGGGGCCCCGGGCAGCCGTGCCAGCCATACTGCCGGAATGGGGAGAAGGGAAAAGGAGGGGTTTCCAAAGTGCTGATAACCCACAGCATTCCTTGGGAAAGGAGAGGTGGCGAGCAGCTCTGGTGGTGTCTCTCCTCTGAGACAAAAGCTCACGGAAGTTCTGGAAGCTGCTTTGGGCGGGGTGTCGACTTCTGGCCGTGCCTCAGCCTCGTGCCCTGTTAGAGGCAATATTGACTTAAAGAAAGAGGCATGGAGCATGCTTGGCATGGGTGTTCCGAGTTAAAAATTGTCAGTCTGGGCAAACAGACCTTTGGGGTGATCGGCAGGAAAGCCGAGTGGCTGTGCTGCATTATTACTGCTCCTTTCAGAGCACGGTGTGACCTGGTGCTGCTCTGGGCGCTGAGCACCCGGCTCGGCGGGTTTGGAGAAGCGCTGCAGGTTTTGGAGCTCTGTGCTTCAGATCAAACCCATTTCCTTCCCCTCGGTGAGGTGTTTGTACTGCCTCAGTGAGTCAATAAGCATGTGAGGAATGCATCTCACAGCTGAAGGTGAGCGATTAGTGTGGCTGTGCTGGAGGTGATGAGATTAATTAGTCCTTCCCAGGTGAATTGGAGCTCCAGAAATAAGATATATGAGATATTTAGTCTGAAATACCACTGTGAGGCATTTTCAGAGGGAAGTGGGATCCTGCATATGACTCTCACCACAGGATATTTATCTTGATCCTTAATTTTGTAGCAGTGCCTCGTCAGGAGAAGAACCAGTACCTGGCAGATGGGAGGCATGTGTTCTACAAAAGCTGCTGTTCACTGGTAGGAGGCACCTGATTCTCTGGGTGAGATCACAGTGCTGTCTGTGGTGGGGCTCTGCTGAGATTGTGAAGGAACAGGGAAGTAATTTCTCTATTAAAATATAATAAAATTTGAAAGCGTATAAATGTCCTCATGAGTCCATCCCCACTGAGGCTCTGTCTGGGGAACAGCTCTGCTCTATGTATCACAGAATTGTAGAATGGGCCAGGTTGGAAGGGATCACAGTAGCATCATCTGCTCCAGCAAGGTCTTCCCAGAGCATGTGGCACAGGATTGTGTCCAGACGGCTCTGGAATATCCCCAGTGAGGGAGATTCCACAGCCTCTCTGGTCTCAGTTCCGCTGCTGGGTGACTGCACAGTGAAGAAGCTCTTCCTCATCTCTAGGTGGAACTTCCTGTCCGTGTTTCTGCCCGTTGCTCTTGTCCTGTCTCTTGGCACCTCTGAGCAGAGCCTGGTCCATGCACACGAGCCCAGGGTGCCACAACCGGCTGAGGAGTTAAACCCCAAGGCCAACACAGTATCCCCGTGCCACGCACTGGGCAGGGCCGGGGCTCGAACCCGCAACCCTCTGAGCGCAGGGCCCGCGTTGGCCGGACGGGGGCGCGGCGGCCCCGGCGCCGCCCGGAAGCGGAAGCGCGGCCGCGGTTCCCGCCGCGGTTGCCGAGCGGCGGCCGCTCCGTCCCGTCCCGCCCGCGGCCATGAGCGCGGCCGGGCTCGTGTCCGCGCCGCCCGCAGCCCCGCCGGGGCCGCCCGCCCCCGCCATGGCTCCCGCGCCCGACTACTACGAGGAGGAGGAGCTGGAGAGCGCCGAGGAGGAGGACGGCGAGCGGAGCGCCCGGGCCCGCGACTCCGATGAGGGTGTGTGCGAAGGGGGCGGGTTGGTGCCCGGGGGCGGGGTGGGACAGGGACATGGAGCGGGGGCTCTCCCGGGGCTGTGGGGTGGAGGGGACCGCTCCGCACGGGGTTTGGGGAAGGGTTGGGGGCTTAAAGGGTTCGGAGCGGCGAGAAGAGCCGAAGGAAACAAGGAGCTGTCAGGTTGCAGCGGTTCCCGCTGGAGAGGTGGAGTTGTGGCTTTCCAGATGAGCGGGGGGCGGTGGGACACGGGAGACCGCTGAGCAGGGGGGCTGAGTGGGACAGCCGAGTGGAAACGGTGGAGAAATCCAGTGTATTGGTTCTGTTTCCGTGGTGTGAAGGGGGAAGAACGCAGCTGAGGGAGGAGAAGGTGTGGACAGAAGTGTAGCTGTGCAGGAGGATGTGACAGTACAAGAACCAGGGAGCAGGGGAGGAGATTCAGTAAAACCCAAAGTAGCCAGGAGTGTAGAGAACACACAATTATTGATGAGGGAAATGTAGAAGGACTCTGGGAGAGTGGCTTTTGCTGGCAGCAGAGCCCTCCATCCCCTCTGGCCTGGTTTTACATGGGATGATGTTAAAGATGCAGAGGGTGACAGGGTCACTGAGGGCTCTCCCAACAAAGTATGGAAGTCCTTCATTTATGTACATTTCTTGCACTTAAAAAACTTTTTGGTTTATCTTTAGTATGTTAAAATTTATCTTAAGTTTAAACTGTAGTTTAAGAAAAAATCTGAGAAGGGTTTGATTTAAGACACATGGGCCCCTCTTCCATGTGTAGGGAATTAGCTGTGGTTTAGGTTTCTCAGCTGTACCCTGTAAAGTCTGGAGGCACTGACCCTTCTTTGGACACCTAATGGATTCTTGGCTACCCATCTGTTACAAATAGAACCCTGAAAAGTCTTAGCAGAAAACTAGCCATCCCACAGTAATTTATTTACAGCTTATACTGTTTATAAAATGCAGCTGTCTTTATAGCAGTGCTGGTATTTGAACATTGAAGCACTAAGTGAAGTATAGCTGAGAAGTTCAGATCCCAGCCAGTCACTGCTCTCTTTACTGAGACCTTTGTGGTCAACCCCAGAGGCACCAAGTGGATGGAACACCAGTAACATGTTTGGAACTGCCTTTCGGAGTCTTTAGGCTGTTTGTGTCTCACCTGTGTGTGAATATTAATGTAGAGCCCCTTGTCTTACACGGGAAGAAATTCCCAGGCTCTCTGAAGTTGTTCATGTAAAGCTGCGCTGCAAAACTCAAGAGTTGCAGGAAGATGTTTCATTTTCCTCCTGAATTCATCTCTCAGGTTGTCTTTGATGCTAAATTGCCTGAGGTTTGGGGATTTCTTTTTTGCTTGCCTGTTTGTTTTTAAATAATTTACTACTTAGTTTGGGGTGTTTTTATAAATACTTTTTTAATTTTAACAAGTTGTTTTTTGCCTCATTTAGACACTGAGGATGCCAGTGAAACAGACCTGGCAAAGCATGAGGAGGAGGACTTTGTAGAAATGAAAGAACAGTAAGTAACCCATTCCAAATACAAGTAAGGTGCTGTTCTATTTATTTGTGGGTTTAGGGGCGTTTATTGCCTAAAACTTGGCAAAGTTTGGACCAAGATTGGGAGTTTTAAGTGCTTACCCCAGTGGACTAGCTCGTTGAGTCCATACACTTGTATTTCTCCTCTCCCCAGTTACTTTCTCTGTTATGTATAAATGTAAGGAACTAAGGGCTGCTGCTGTTTTGTGTAAAGAAATAATTATGAGTTCTGTGAGCAGCTGCGAATGGATCCTGCTGCAGGCAGATCCTTCAAATAAAATAAAGGCTCTGCTTTAGATAAGCTAAGGAAAAGTAAGATGCCTATTGAAATGCCTTAAAAATTTGAATTCTAGTCCTGAACTAGAAATGGACTTTTGGGAGACTTGAAATAGTTTCCACGTGGTGTTTAGGAGCATTTGCAGTATTCTGAGTTCTTGTCTACTGGCAGAGATCTGTTTTAATAGAGGTCAAGAAGACTTGGCCAGTCTTAAACCACAGATGTATGGTAAAAGAAAAGCAGGTTTGTAGCAGCACCAGGAATAGACTTTGGTGGGTTTTTAAAATAATGTGGGGAGCGAATACACAGCTAATAAAACTTGACATAGTGGAAGAATGATTTTGCTGTAAAGTTTCTGATGTTTGTAGATCTAAGTGTCATTTTTAGATTTTAAAATTAAAAAAAAAATCCTATTTTATCCCAGATTTTAAACCCATTGTAGGACAAAAGAAGTGCCAGAGTTTTTAAGGCAGAATAAGAAACTTTAATTGGAATAAAAGTATTTTAGTTTGTAGTTCATTTGTTGAAGTTCTGAAAAGTTTTTGGTTCTGTGTGAACATGTAACTTCAAGAGATGGTGGAATAAACTATGTGTGCTTGGTGTTTAAAATTTCCTCTGTGTTTGTAGGATGTATCAGGACAAACTGGCATCTCTGAAGAGGCAGTTACAGCAGCTGCAGGAAGGTAAGCTTTGAAGAGTAGCTTTGGTTCTTATTTTCAGCACTTTTGAAATGTCAGAGAAGGATGAAGATTTTGAAAGATGGGAGCAGCATCTTTCACTGCGTGCTGGCTCTCAGCTGTGCTGCAGAGTTAAAACTGTCAGCTGCTTCCCATCTTTCCTCCATCTTAACTCCATCTGTAGTTAAGCCTCTCTGCTAAAACACTTCTTAAAATGAGTAATCCACTTCTTACAAAAGCAGGGAAATGTGCTTTGAGTGATGTATGACTCCTTGAGGATATTTAATACTTGAGGAAAAAAACCACAATGAGAATCTACAATTTATTTCCACTAGGTACTCTTCAGGAATATCAGAAAAGGATGAAAAAGTTGGACCAGCAGTACAAAGAAAGGATACGAAATGCAGGTGAGTGGAATTTCTCTCTAAGACACTGCAAATAACTTAAGTGTGTGTTTTGCATAACACCCAAAGTAGAAAAGAAGTAATTCTGTCCTTTAAAGAAAAGGAATTTGCTGGAGGAAAGGGATCTTTGGGTACATTGTAAGGTTTTTTTCAGAGTCCACCAAACATGACAGGATCTACCTTGATTATGTTGTCCCCTTGATCAGCACTGTTTGCTGACTAATAAACAGTTTTAGTCTTCATTTGTATGAAGCAGCACAAGTAAAAAGATGATTTCATTTATATCTGCCTAAAACACGGTGTCCCACTTTGGTTTTTGTTTTATGGCTCTTGCTGAAGCCTTTGGGTGCCCTGTCCCCTTCAGTTTGCAGGAGTGGGAAGTTAGGAGCACGTGCTTTCCCAAAGATCTGTTTGTGAACAACGAATACAGAGGATTTGCTGCTGGAACTGTTGTTCTGCATGGCTGTGGCATGGAATGGGCTGCCTGGACTTTGTGTACTGCTCTGTTTCAAGAAGCAGAGGCCCAAGTTAATTTTTAAAGTGCCCAGCGCTCTTCCTTCCGGGTGGTTTTTTTGTGTTGCTGCAGAGGAAGGGCCTGGTAATCAGATCCAGCTGCTTGCCTTCCCTCTCTCTCGTTCCCTTTCAAGTAGTTTCTTACCTTGGGTATTGAAGCAGGGTCTTTAATAGAAGGCATTATGTGGATGTAGGAAATACGTCCAGTCTCCTCCTCCTCTAGCAAAAGAAAGCAATTCTGTATTTCTGAAAGTGCTTGGGAAGGTAAAGGATTTGCTTGAGGAACTGAAGTGGTTTGAACAACTTCTTTTTAACAGGAACATGTCTTCTGAGATGAATTTCACTAATGGTTTAGGTTGGAAAAGACCTCCAAAAAAAGACCTTTCACATGCACTAGAGCTGCATTCTGGCAATCCTGGACTGTTTTGATAAAATTAAGCCTAAGTGTAAACTGGTATTTCTGGCTGGCCATGAGCAGTGCTGCAGCAGCAGAGTTCTTCCACAGGAGGGCAGGTGGTGATCACTTGGAATTTTATGATTAAAATCCAACTGCCTTGTACTACAGGAGTAAGGGTCTTTTATGTTTGTCCTTGCCATGCTGAGGTTTATTAAAACAAAAGTTTAGATTTACCTACATTTGATTATCCACATAATGCTGCTTTCATGCTTTGCAAATAGAAAGTTTGATTTTTATTGCAGCATTCTTATATTTGGTGTATATCTATTACTGTTTTTTAAATTTTTGTTAAATAACAGAGTGGTACAGTGTTGCTACTACAGCCTTCTTCAAACTGAACTGAGTAGCGTGGAATAGTGGAAGCTTTTCAGTGAGGTGACAACCTGTATAAAACCTCTAGTAACAGTGTGTTTTTGTGGAACTTTTTCATAGTCACTTTATTTTCAGCATAAAGCTGTGAAGTCAGAGCAGAGGTTGGATAAGTACATGCATTATTTGCTTCACTGCCTGTCTTGGCTGCAGTATTCAATGGCTTAAAATGTTAAGGAAGCAATTTTGTGCAGCTTTGAAGGTAGTAAATTAAGTCTTTCTTGTGTTTCAGAACTGTTCCTGCAGCTGGAAGTAAGTACTCTTAATTTATCAAAAGTATGCATTAATTAGTTGGAAGAGGCATTAAACCTTGTTTCATCAACCAGTATTTGGGCTTGTTTACCCAGAAGGTTTAAAGGAAATTGTCTTGCTCTAGCTGGCTTATTACACTTGAGGTGTAGTAGAGCTTACTCTGGTTACCTCAAATAACTTCTGCACTTTGTTATTAAAATAGAATTAACTGTTTGCTATTGGCCTCTTGTATCTGTCTGTGCATTGGGCTGGTCAAAAAAGGGTGTTTAAGGTGATAAGTGCTGTTTATAAGTCAGCAGAGCTCTCTGCTAAGGACTTGATTTGTTATGCAACATTATAATGTCTTTTTACAAATAATTCTTTTGCCAATATAATAGCACTAAGTCATATTTAGATGTTTTTCTGTAGATTGTGAATATCGATAATCTTTAGAACTTGGACCAGTTGTGAACTGAAAAGCTGATCAATAAAGCATTTGAAAAGCTGTTGTGATATCATTAACTGGAGTCATTAATTAACTTTCTTGTTCCTTGGGTTTGCATTAGACAGATCAGGTGGAGAAAAATTATGTGAAGGAAAAGAAAGCAGCAGCAAAGGAGTTTGAAGATAAGAAAATTGAGCTTAAGGAAAATCTGATAGCAGAGTTGGAAGAGAAGAAGAAGATGATTGAGAATGAAAAGCTAACCATGGAATTAACAGGAGGTAAAGAAGATAAGCACCTGTCATTTCTGTTATCCACTGTGCTCCTGCTTAGGGAAGGAGCTGTAAAGGTGGCAGTGCTGGTTTACACAGACAGCTGGTGGGAAATGCCAACAGGGCAGAGCACAAACTGATGGCCTTTTAATGGAAAAAGCAGCTTAAAATTCAGTGAATTGTAAACAGGTGAATCAAGCAGTGCCAGTGGAGCAGCAGAGAAGATTATGGGCTTGCTTATATGCAGGGGAAGAGGCTGCTTTGGTTCCTTGATCTAGCAGTGAAACCACTGAGAAATGTCACAATATTGACCTAACCAGCAATGTCAGGATTTAAAGCTGTGTCCTTTTATTTCTGCAGGAGTGGGTGGTCAAGTAGTTGAAGAAAGCCAAACAATAAAAGGTTTTCTGGCTTAAAGCCAGAAAAAAAAATACATTTGTGGGTTATGCTTGTGCCCAAGCTCTACGAAATTTATATTAAATGGACAGATTTTTTTGACAGTTGGTATCCCTGGTGCCTTGCAGTGCTCTGTGGTAATGGACACAGGGGAGCTAAGTCAGGGTTTGATTATTCCTGCAGAATTCTGTTGCTGTGGTACTGAACCAAAAGTCTGATTTGATGCTCTTTCTGAGAGCAGCTCCCTCACTTCGTGGACTGATAGTGTGGTTTTGTTGCTGAGGCTGTCCATAAATTACACCCTTCATATATTTTTTGCATAGTATCTGCAAGCTTTATATAAACTAATAATTTAATTAATACTCAGAAGTGAGAAATAAACCCTGTGTTTGGTGTTCTTAGTACAACTCCTAGGCCTGATGTGGACTGGGAAGCATCTTGAGTTAAGCTGTTTCTCTGGTAGCTTATTTATTTATGAAATCTGCTCTCATGGTCATCCTTGTTCACCCCTGTGCTGAGAAGGAATTTGGTATATTTTGCACATGCAGAATTGCTCAAGATATTCATGTTTTGTGGGAGCCAAAGGGGCTTCCTAGATTGAAGTGCTTCCCAGGGGGTTCTTAGAGATGAGCAAATCTCAACACAGAGGAGGGAAGGTGGGATGATGTGTTTGGCATTTATGATGTGGTCCCTTGGCTGCCAGTTCAACATACCTTCATGAATTAAGGAATGGGTTGTGAGAATTTCAGTGGAGTTGTTCAGTAAAGGTTACCTGTAGGCATTTGGACAAACTAAGTTCAGATAATTACTTGGTGATGAGACTGCTGTTTCAGTTTTTAACAGACTTTCTTCTTTTTCCCCAGTGCATATGCTGCAGTTTACTTCCTGTCAACTGCTTCTCTGTGTGTTATTAATTAGGCTCATTTCATTAATCATTTTTAGATAATCTGAATTTAAATACTGTTTGTTTGAAATCACTCCAGTAGACTTGTATCAGTCTTCAATGCAGAAATTTCCTCTAATCTTTTAACAAAGCTGTTTTTCTGCCTTGAAGATGAGAGAGCAATTGATTTGTAGCTGATGTTTTACATGCTATTAATGATCCAAGTTGGGTTGGGAAAGAACTCCATGAGCTTGGCCTTTTAAATCTGCTCCCAAGCAGATAGCATGAGCATGAAAGGAATTTGCCTTGAATCCTTGTAGCATCATTGTGCAGCTTATCTGTACCTGGAGCAGCTGTAACCATGGCATTGCAGCACTGGCACTGAACAGTGACCTGATGGGAGAGAGAACTTGGATTCACTGTCAGCACTTCCATGCTGGAAGCTAGCACACACACACACAGACAAAAAAAAAAAAAAATCCAATTTGCTGTATGAAAGAGGAAAGATTATTTTCCTTGTGCCTTGTGTAGAAAGCTGCTGCTGCTTGCTCCTTTCTCTCTGGTCTTATCAGCTCTCCAACTTCATTATTCTGCAGATTCAATGGAAGTGAAGCCTATTATGACAAGGAAACTGAGACGGCGACCAAATGATCCAGTTCCTATCCCAGACAAGAGGAGGAAACCTGCCCCTGATATCCTTTCATGGAGTCACTGTTGGGTTTGAGCCCCTGTGCTACCCACACCTTTGTTGTTTTGTACAGCAAGGAAAAGGAAATTAAATGCCAGCATCAGATTTTAACCTGGGAAATGCTGAAGCACAATTGTCATGTATAATGTGTGCTAAAGCAATACAGCAGTTATACAATACATATATAGAAACCAGTGTTTGGAGATCCCTTGGTGTCCTAACTTAATCCTTACATGGGATAGGTTTTTCTTGGTCAGTGAGAATAGTTTGAATTCTACAGGCGATTTATTTCACAAAAAAACTTTAAAAGAACATTATATATATATATACACCAAGATAATTGATTCCAAAGATAGTAAATGGCTTTTTACATGAGCCAGAGCTTTTCTCATTTCAAGACGTGACAAAGCATTTACCAGAAAGATCATATTTGTCATATCAAAATAGTTTTTCCATTTCTGATAAAAGCTTCTGATCTCTAATCCAGAGATGCATAGCAAAATCAAGGATGGTAGATTTGTTCTTTGAATAAGAAAAGATGAAGATTCATCTTATTTTCATGTCTCACAAGAGACAGGAAAACATGTCTGTGTAATCCTTAGGATCTGCCTTGCTGCATGTCTAGGAATTAAAGTGTTCCTTGGCTTCTGGAAATACGTTTTTGGCTCCTTTGTGATGATAGGCACTTTTTCTATTTGTGTATTAAATTCACCTGGAGAGGAAGGCAAGGATATTTGATTTGCAAGGGCTTCTTATTAGATTCTAAACTTGTATGTCTTTAGATTTAAAAAACTTACCTGAGTGATTCTCATTTTCTGAAGGCAATATCAAACCTTGAACTTTTGGAGTTCATGCAGGATGGTCATGAGCATCTCCAGTTTCAATTAACCTCTTTCTGATTGGAGATTCTATCCACTCTTTCAGGAAAAAAAAAAAGTCATTTATTAGTGCCCCTATCTCATCCAAAATAAATTAGTTTCATGGTGAACATGACCTGCTAATTGAGCATGATACAGCAACCACACCATGAAAACCTCTGCCTTTGCTCGCTGGGAGAGGATTAAAGTCCGTCAGAACCAAAATCCTTGAAATGCAGCCCAGCAATTGTTAACTTTAGTTTAATACTTTGAATACTTTTGGCTAAACACTTGTTATGCAGAAACAAAGTACAGCAGAGCTCTAATAAGACTGTAATACACTAATTTCTATTTTCAAAGGATTTGGGGTTGTTTTCAGGTGCATTGTAGGCTCTTAATTATCCCCAGCCACGCAGGTTTTATTTAACTAGGTGTAGGTGGGATTTAGCTTCATGGTAAAAAACCTGAAGTGAGTCTGTTGTTTCAGCTCACAGATTTTTCTCCACACAAATACAAGATGAAAATCACTGAAAATGCTGCTGCTTCATGCTTCCATGAAGTAATTGTCAGTGCACTAAAGGTTTTTCATTGATGTGTCTGAATAAGTTAAAATGATTTTGCACTCTGCTGCTAAGATGGTGGAGACGGACTTGTCTTAATTCCTCTGACCACAAAAAAACTCAAGTAAGACATTTATTAAAATCCTGCAAACCTTTTGGCTTACATTTACTCAAGTGAAATGTTATTGACCTTTGATTGTTAGCCTTGCTCATCAAGAGCTTATGGAAACCTTAATTCCAGATACCTCAGCTAAATTATTTGTTGACTGATGAGCAAATAATGGAGGACCTAAGAACGCTGAATAAGGTAGGGATTGTTGCTTGACTGTATTTCTTCATTTTAAAGAGAAGGCAAATGCTTTCTCCTGAGGAGAACAGAGCTCTCTTTCATGTTAATTTTTGAGATGTGGGACTGTTTCATCCCCGTAGGCTTTCTGAAGTAGCACAATAAAAGATTTAGCAAGATGGTATCTCCTCTTTTTTATTGAGGTTTAATTAACCTCATTTGAATGACTGTCATCTGAAAATGTTACCTTTTGTGTGAACCAAGGGATGAGCTATGTTAAGGAGTTTCTTCCTCATGGCTGAACAGATGTCAGTGTGTTTTTCTGGGAGATCACAGGCTGCCTTTGGTTTAGGCCTTAGTGTGGGGTAGGATTTTTTATTTTTATTTTTTTTCTCCCTGCTGCTACAAGATTTCAGCAAGCTGGATGGTGGGGGGGAAGGCAGTGTACATGTTTATAGTTTTTCTAGTTTTGATTAGCATACTGTTTTCTTGCTGAACACTTGAAGGCTTATCTAACTTCTTAGAATATAAGCTGCTCATTAAGGCATCTTAAGGATGGTAGTGGAACACTGGTTTTGTGCCAGCTGTTGAGGTTTCTCTAATGATTTATCTCCTGTATTTTGTATACCCTGAGAAATGTTGTATCACATTAAAAAATAGCATGTGAGATGGGTTTGACTCATTGGAGTGGGTCATCTGAGTGCTCTCAAGTTCAGTTTTTTGGCCTTTTGGATCATTACACTGATCCACACCTTTGGCTGTTTAGAGCACACTGCTCTGGTTAATGCCACTTAACAGAGCATTTAAAATAGAAATATTCAGAGTTTGGAGAGTAAGATACCTGAAGTTACCACTGCAGCTTCTGTGGCTCCTGTCAGTTCTCTAACACTGCTTTGCTCTTTTCCCATGTAGCTTAAATCACCCAAGAGACCAGGTGAGTTTCAGATGCGTGCTGTTCTGAACAGAGGATGGTACTGTGGATGCTTGGCTGTACAATTTGGCTGTGGAATTGCTGTTCTTTGTGTGGTGTTGATGTTTGTCAGGGATGGGAAGGGGGGCATGAGCATCTTTGTAATTCTGAAACACTTGGGCATGGGACAATCCAACTGGGCAATGAGGTTTTCTATTTTATTTGTGTGTCTGCTTGCCAGCTCTGCAGAGGGATTGACCACTTACGGTTTTATGCCTCCCGCTCTCTAGATGTGCCTATGCACTTCCTTTCAAGACAGAGCGGGACTAACTTGCCTCAGTAATTTTAACCATATTTAAATAATTAACTGTGGATTATAACTAAAACAAAATCAAGGACATATTGTCCATCACTTACCTGTGAATGTTTTTTCAGATAAATGCTGTATTTCAGTGAATATTTTAACTCAAGGCAGAGGTCAAGTTACTCATCGCAATATATATTTTCCTGATGGATATTTGAGTTTGCACCTTTCTCTGCTTGTTAATTCTGACCTTATGAGCTGCAGTTTTGCAGTCAGATGTGCTGCTGTGAGATGGGCAGGTGCTGGTCTTTAACCAGAGTGTCTCTCCTGTCCCCAGCCTCCCCCTCCTCTCCCGAGCACCTCCCAGCTACACCAGCAGAGTCTCCGGCACAGCGATTTGAAGCTCGGATAGAAGATGGCAAACTCTACTATGACAAGAGATGGTGAGGCCTGGGGAATTTCTGTTTTCCATCAGTCTGTGTGTTGGGTAGTGAGGAGGCAAAGGGCTGCAGAGAGAAATGGCTTTGATCAAAGAATTGGTGGACAAAATGCTTTTGGGCAGAGGTTTGCTGCTCCCTCCACAAGCTCATGATGGATCCAGTGAAGCAGGGGTGATGATGGAATGTTCACAGCCTGTAGGCTTTCAGAGATAACTGGTGGCTCCAATAAAGGGACACTCAAATATTTTCCATGGCCCACTGTGGCACTTAGGAAGTCAAACCTAATATGAGGTAGGAGAGGCAGCAGCAGCCACAGGGGGATGTAACTGAAGCTGCCCTGGATACAGACACTCCATGATTTGCTGTCAGCAACACTCCCATTCCTGAGGTTCAGTTTTGTGGAACTCGAGCCCAGCATTCCACAAGGTGGCAGAAGAAATGTCCACCAGCTGCTCAGGATGAAAAATGCTTCTAATAAATCCAAATAACCTTTAAAGATCAAACCCACATGGGAGAGGCAACTTCAGAATTGCTGATTGGATTTATCTCTGTTGAGTTTTATGGCCATACAGCTGTACAAGCCTCACAAAACACAAGGAAAGTATTAAATTCTGCAGAGTAGATCTTAATCCATGAGACTTGCAATCCTGGATAATCAAGGGGGAAATCTTGAACTCCTTGAGCATAAAACACTTGGCTTTCAAAAAGTCATCTGCTTATTTGTAGCCTACTAGAGTGTTCTGGTGGCTCAAAACAACAAGTGATGAGGCTGTAATTTTATCACAAAAGTAGGTGTGAAGCTGGTTTTTTTACACAGCAATCCCCTTGGCCAGTTGGTCAGTTTTTCCTTCTGACTGAAGTTTAATTGAGAGTTCAGTGTACACTTCTCTCATAAAAGCTGCTCCCTCTGTTTAAACATCTATGAAGTGTAAAGCAGGTAAGAACTGAACAGGCTACTTATTTCACAGATTCATGAAGTTTTGTTTTTAGTTTTTGGCTTTCATAGTTTTTTTTGTGTGTGTAAAGTGACTATCCCCAGGATATATCTGGATGAATAAACTCTTCTTCAGAATTTTGAAGCATATGGAGTACTTTGAAAAGTGTTCATGAGTAAAAAAAGAAAGAAAATAAAAAAAAAAAGGCATCTGAAGTAATCTGTCGGTAAAGCTCAAAACTTCCCATTAAATTTAAACCTGGAAGAGCTTCAGTGAGCCCAGAATCTCACCAAAGCACCAGCTCTCTCTGAAGGGTGAAGCTGTGGCATAAAGAACTTAACAGATATTTTCATCTTGCTGTCAGGAATTCTAGCTGTTGTCTTTCCTGCTGCCTTGTTCTCATGTTGTTTTAAGATCAGTATTTTATATTTTTTTGGGTTGTAATAATCCTGCTTACATTTTTTTGATTGATAGTCATGGTACTTGTGCAAAGTAGCTGGTGTTCTAAAATGATGAAGCAACTCTTGGTAATGGGAGGGTAATTCTTCCTAAGGTGCATAAAGAGTGCTGGCATGCACAGAAATCCTAAACCTGACAGCCCAGGAATGACTTCTCTGTTTCCTGATGCAGCCCTGCATGACAATTACCTGAAAACAGGAAATGTTTAAGGCCAGTAATGAACCCCCTGAAGTCTTGAAGAGACATTTCAGAGTGGAGTGTCTCAGATGAAAGTGGAATTAGACTCAGTTTTTTATCCTCAGAGCTCTGTGCTTCCCCCATCAAATCCTAAACCACAGTTCACTGTAAAACAACCATCTTCTTGCTCCTAGCTTTGCTGCATACAATAATGCAGAGGGATTTCTTTCAGTCTTCTGATGGAGTTGCAGTTGGATCTTGGCCTTTCAGTAAAACGTTTTGTAGCAGGAAATGGAATTATTTCTGCTTGCCTCACTTGGTGTGTTTTGCCTACTGCAACAGCAAGAGTTGTTTGGCTCTTTGCTTTCATGAAAGCCAACTTAAAACCCCATTGCATTTTTCTTCAGAGGTAACTTCCTCAATCCTATCCCTCTCTGGATATATAAACTTGACAAAAGGGTGAGACATGACCAGGTAACTGATGCACCAGGGTGCTGTGCCTTCAGCTGCCCTGTCTCTGAGAGCGTGGAGCGTGAGACAGCTGAGACAACTCTTCAGTGAAACACTGCTGACTTGGTTCTTTGCCTTTTCTGGGCACAATTAACATTAATTTACTGATGGAGAGTCATTCATGATGTGAAATCTAAGGGCTGAATGAAGCCCCTGACATGTATGTCATCAGCTTTGGCATTCACTGGGAATCAAAAATTGAAAGTGGGGAAAGAAATATTTCCTTGTCTGTGTGGGCACAGCTAACACTTGAGAGCTGCTGTTTGCACTGGTATCTCCTGCACTCCTGCTGACTGTATCAAGATCAAAACTCTTGCCTAAGTACTCACAGCATGGCATGGTAGGGCACTGCTGGACTGAGATTTTAGTCTCATCCAGGCCTGGGGTTTGTAGTAGCTTACTGAGTTCCTTTGTAACATTTAATGACATCTCGACTTGCTAAACTGAGATTTTTTTAGCTCAAATCATTGTTGCTGTTGCAGTGCCCTGGAACCCACTGACGTTGTTTGTGTCACAATGAAGGAGAAAGACACCTGTGCCCAATCATTGTTTTAAAGGTTGCAGGATTTGGGGATTTTGGGGGGGATTTTTTTATTCCCTCACCCCCCCATGGGTAATGAGTATGTTTGGAAGGCTCAAAGCTGACACTCATTCCAGTTACTGGCAAGCACTGTGAAAATTCTGAATGCATAAAGCCAATAGGAAGAGATTGTGGAATAAACCATTGGAAGACTTCCACATGTACAGTATGGTTACTGTAGAAATAACTGTAAAGTTTAAATAAATCCATGCATTTTGCAAATGGCAGTCAGGCTGCAGGGGGTTGCACTGGGTAGCTGCTGAGGGAATATCTGTGCAAGGATTCTGCAGCTTGGATTGCCCAGATAAAATCATGATTAGGGGAAAGGTGGAAATACAGTCATGCTTTTATAGCTGTAAAGTATTTTGGTGCTTGCTTGATTAAGATGATTTACTTACAAATCACCTGTTCCAGTGTAATTAGTTCTGCCTATGGAACAGAATGAGGCAGAAGGAACAGAAGGTGGGGTTTTGGGGCTGGCACACTGCAGCACTTGCAGAAATGTGGGCTGTGAAAGAGGCGAGTCCACAGAATCAAACAATTCAGAGTTATGAATTTCAAAGCCTTTGTTTTGTACACAACACATTAAGAACAATATAGAGCTTAAAATATGATCTAGAATGGGATGAAATGGATATGTTTAGTCATGGCCTCCTTATGGCAGACATTTACAGCTCATTACAGAGTTAGTTACCCATTAATTACCATTTTGGGTATTTTGACAAAATAGGACAGCATTAGAAATTTGAGGTCTCATTAAACAATGCACTGCATTGATTGAGGGAAATTCACTTTTGGTGGTGCTCTAGTAATTCTGTATTGGGGAATAACTTGAATATCTGTGATTTGCTCTATCATATTTTGTCAGGCAAAGTAAGGAGTTGCCTTCTGAAATCCATCCTGTGTCTGAAATGGGAAAGGCTGCTTGAATTAACCCTTGAAGCCTGGGTGTGTTACCAATCACTGTTCCCCTGGGCTGTGGCTGGGGCTCTGCCTCTCCCCCTTGGAGTTGTGAAATCTGTTTTCAGTCACCTTCAGTGCAGGTGAATTCAGAATGTGAATTAAAATGTCCTGGATTTCAAAATATTATTTAAAGCAGAGTGTGTTTGTGAGATCAGATCACCCACTACCTTGCAAAGATGGAGAAAGGAGTGTAGAAGGAAAGGCAGCAGACTTCAAATTTACTCTCTCCAGCTTTATCAATAATGGATTCATGCATTTCCTTTTATTTTTTTTTTCTTTTTGCAGGTACCACAAGAGCCAAGCTATTTACCTGGAGTCTAAAGAGAACACAAAGATCAGCTGTGTGATCAGTTCTGTGGGCGCCAACGAGGTTGTGGCTGCTTTTATTTTTCAGCAGAGGGGGGAAAGACATGGGTTTAGCAAGGGCTAAAGATGGATACCTGTCTGGTGTGTAAAGAAGCTGAAGCCAAGATAAAACTGACTTGAGAAATCTCTTTTTGATATGGGAAGAGACTTGCTCTGTTTCTGAAGGATAATCCTGTGTTTTGCAAGCTCCTGCAGCAGTTGGGCAAAGGGAGCACTTTGTTCTTTGCTTGCAGATTCCAGACACTTCAGGGAAAGAAATAATAGACTTGAGTGCACTTCTTCTCAATCAGCCAATAAAGGAACTTTAATTTGTTGTGGCAGTTAAGGGAAAACACTTTATTTTCCCCAGGATGAGTTGCATGTGGGATGTGTTTGTGTCACAGCTGTTCCCTTGCAGTGGCAGCTGTGGCACTCGGTTCTTCAACTAAAAGTAGTGGTAGTGAGCTCATTGATGCATTAAACTTCGTTGAAAGTTATTACTTTAATTTAGCAAAACTAATGTATCATTCCATCATACTGTGGTAGAATATAAAATTGTACATATTTGGTTCCTACAGTTGCTCAATGTTTATGGATTTTTGAATTCTTTTGGCAAGCAAAATAGGCCAAATCCTTGGAAATGTTGCAGTTGGGAGATGATTATCAATGAATGTTGATTTTAATTTCTCTGGAGAAATAGTTGAAGTAGAAATCCAGGCAGATACTAAATTTATTTTATATTGTGGGGTCCTGTCAATAAAGTTAATTTATAATTACCATAATAAAGTTAAATCAATTTACTTGCCAAGCCTGTAGCTCATATATGAAAAAAAACTCAAAAAGTTTAGGGTAAATCACAAGCCAACATAACTTCATAATCCTTTGCAGTAGGAAATATTGGACTTCCCTCCTAAAATACTGCAGTACTAAGGAGTGGATAATTCTTCATGTCTTTATTTAAATATGTTGAAATGCCTTAGAAGGATATAATGCAGAGGAAATTGCTCAGATTTGATTTTTAAAGTACAGGTTTTTGGATCTAAACACCTTGAAGGTGATTTCAAAAACTCTCTGGAGTGGCTGCCTCGGTGGCAGCAATTTGTCCTCTGGAGCACATGGAGTGAATCCTTCCATGCAGGTCTTTAAAATTTAGAGAGGCCCTTTTATCTCCAGACACAATTTCTGTGGTACATTGTGGAAAATGCCTCATGGAACAGAATCAGAATAAGCTTTTCATTTGACTAATAGTTACTTGTCTAGGCAAATCCCGGGACAGATAATTTTATGATCTGTGGATCTAGAGAGACTTAGTCTTGATTAGGCAAAGCTCAGTGCCACGGTTCTGTTGTGAATTGGCACAGGAGGAACCTGCTCTCCTCATGGTGCTTGAAAGAGTAATTTTTCTTGAGGACTGTTACGAGCAGGAAGTTAAGGAGGTGAAGTTAGACACCTTATTTCATTTTCTACTCAGGTTGCAAATGCCTCATGTGGGGAGGGAAAGAGGATTAACCTCATTGATCTGTGCCCCCTGAGGTGTTCAGCTCCAACACTAAGAAACAGTTAATTTCTCTATGTATTGCTTGCTGTGAGTTTTCCCCTTTTCTCCCCTAATTCACCTCCCTGCCCCATTCTTTTTGCCCTTCCTCTCCTGCAGATCTGGGTGAGGAAAACCAGCGACAGCACCAAGATGAGGATCTACCTGGGGCAGCTGCAGCGGGGCGTGTTCGTGATCCGCCGGCGATCGGCCACCTGACTCTGCTCCGCCCTGTCCTGGTTTTTATCGGATCACCAAACTCTGCCAGGGGCTCACAGCAGCAGGGAACAGTCCTGACCTCTGACGAGACACTTTGTGGCTGGCCACATAATCCCCAGTAGTCCTTAAACCTTTAGTGATGCCCAAGCACTGCCCTGGACTATTTCTGGATTTTGCATCAAGCTTCTGTACGCTCTCTTTGTATTTTGGGTGACTGTTTGAGAAGACTTTGCCTCATCCTCCTTCTCATCGTTGTTTTGTGGTGCACAGATGGGACTCGTGTGTCAAAACCATCATCATCATGTTTCTGTTGGGAGTCAGACCAGTGGAAGAAGCTTTGCTTGTCGAGGCCTGAGGTTATTTGTGCTTTTTGGCCTTGTTTTACTGCAAGGCTTAGGATTTTGGACAAAAGATGAATCCTGCCAGGTTTCAGCCACAGCTGAGAGATGCCTCCAAAATACCTGGTGCACAACATCAACTTTATTGGATGGACTGTTGAAAGACTGGGGACTTTTTTTAGGATGGTGTGAACAGCTCAAACTGCTGAAAATACAGTAATTTTAATGTAGCTCAGAGTCACGCGTGGTTAGTCAGAAGCTTCAGTTTCTCTTCACATTAAAAAACCCTTCAAAGAACAAGCAGAGTATGTCTGTTTGCTGATATCATTACCTGGGATAGGTGAATGACTAAATTAAAGGAATAATTACCTGGATTTTGCAGATAGCAAGGCTGTATGAACTCTGTGTGTGGCTGTAATCACTCACAGATGTAGAAAGGCAAAAGATCAATTTCACTTTTTCCAGTGATGCTCAGAATCACAGGTTATGGTGGGGTCCTGCTGCTAGGAGATCTGTAGTATCCTCCCAAGGTATGGAGTAGGAAGTGGCCTTGACATGCTGTTTGCTGGAACTTTCATTCCCTGAAATGTTCTGCTGAGCTCCCCTTGAAGGCTGGTTTAATTGCTGGAAGTAACACTGGCTTTCTACACTCGCCCTCCTGCAGCACAAGTGAAAATGCCCAAATAATTGCATTAAGGTGCTCCCCAGGTGTTTAAAGATCTGCCTCTGGCATTCCTTTATTATTCCCAGTCATTTGCTGATGGCTGGAAGCACCAATACCATGTGTGACTGCCTTGGCAGGAGCCACATGGTGCCCTGGCAGTGCTGTCACATCTCCGCCTTCTGTGCAGAACATCTTCCTGCTCCTTTTGATTACTAGTCAAAAAGTTGTAAATTCTGTCTTTCTCAATATCTGTCCCTTGGAGGCATCTTCTGGTTTTGCTTTTGAGCTGCCTTCTTGTTAATATCCATCCAGCCTTTCTTTGGTGTCTGGATAAATGGAGGCCAGGGAGGAGAGCTGCAATGGCTGTGCCCGTTCCTTTCCTGCAGGTGGGTGGCAGTCACATCTCAAAAACTGATGCCTGTGTGTGGGTCTGGAGCGTGGTTGCCAAGTTCCTGATGTGACTGAGACACCTGACTTGATTTTTTGCTGTGTTTGGAGTTCTGAGTGGATCTGGAGCTCTGGCAAGGAAGGAGAGGGTGTTCCCCACCCCTTGACAATGTGCTGCAGCTTAGGCAGGCAGAACGCAGCAGGCTGGATTTTGTCAAGTTAACAGCTTACTTAATATAACTTAGCATTCTCTGCACTTGTCACAGGTTTTTGATAAGGTGATGATGTACCAGACAGCATTTGTCACTGAGTCTTTAAATGAACATCGTTATAATAATAAAAAGTGCTAAGGAAGTAGCAGGATTTATTTCCTGTCTGTATCACTTTATCAATAGATATATTTGTGGGAATAGCAGATGACTTGTGTTCAGTCCATCTGCTGCTGTGGTGTTCCCTGCTCTGGGGTAATTTTGGGAGTTCATACAAGTGTGGCTGGGTTTCAGTGTGTGTTGGACAGGGAGAGGGGGGTGCCATGAGCTGATGGTGAATCAGGGCGCTGCTTCCTCATGGAAGTTGGCAAACCCTGATCTCAAACTCTTCCACACCAATCTTCTGCCTCCAGGAGGGATGTGTGAGGTTTGTACATCTTCCTTCTGTCAGAATTCCTTGCCAGTTTCCCCAGTGCCCCTGGGTCAGCCTTGGAACTGTTCATTTCTGCTTTTGGCAGCCCTGAGAAGGGGTTGTACTGCTGTAAATGGCTCAAACTGCTACACTGAAGGAATTTTGTTTATAGGCTACTTCATCCTCAGTTTGTAGATGAAATGAAAGTCTGCCTTGCCTCTGTCGATCACCATAAAAAGTAGATGTGTCTCGCAGAGTACATGAATATTGTATCCTGTTTTTTTTAATCCTGGCAGGCTGTTCTGTAATGGCCTGAGCCATTTGTGAGGCTGGAAGTGATAAAGTGCAGTGCCTTGCTGTGCACTCAGGGAAGCAAATGCATTTTTTTCATTTTATTTTTTTTAACCCTAAAAGGATGCACAAGTAGTTCTGTGGTGAGGATGAGGCATGTGGAGATCAAGAGTGGAGACATCAGCTGTAGAACTGAAGATTTCTGCCATGGGTTGAAAAAATAGAGACGAGTTACTCAAGGAGATGGACAAGGTCTTGCTTGAATCCTAGGAGAAAACTGGCTTTTCTGTCTGCTCTTTGCCTGCTTATCATCAGTCTTGAAGCCCTCTGAACAGAAACAGCTTTGCTGCAGGTATGAAACAATTTAATCCTCGTTATGAACAGCATTCAGAGTAAATTTAGAAAATGGCTTTAACTCATCGTCACAGTAATTTTAAAGAAAGGTGAACCTGCTGCCAAAAATAGACTTTTATTGAGGGTTAAATTACAGTTGGCTGAGTCACATTAAGCATTTTTTTTTATTGCCTTGAGAAATGAACTGTGATGTTGATATGTGTAAAATAAAAAAGACATTTTTCCCCCCCAAAGCCATTAGATGTTCCAATGGAAGGAAGCCAACTTCCAGGTTTTTTTTGACATCATTCTCAACACAAAGGTTTCCAAAGAGGCTTTTTCCAAGGACAAATGCTAATACACAAAATTGGCTTTTTTAATTGATGTGCTCTGCCTGGAATTTTGTAAAGAGACAAAGGGATTTAATGACAGACACTTTTAATTGTTTGCCTTGGGTTTTTTTTGTAAATTTTTTGGGGAACTTAAAGAAAATAAAGCCTAAAAGAGCAAGAAATAGCTTTGTGAATAAGTGAGGTTCTTCTTCAGATAAAAGAAAAAGCAGCATTTGTGTTCTTGTTCCACAGAAGCAAACACTGAAATATTCAGAAAATCTGAATGGGTGTTTAAGGTTTGCTGTTACTATTTTTAGTTTGCCTAATTCTAAAACTAAGAATTTAATATACAGTGGCGTATTTAGAAAACAAAATGCATGTTTCTGTTTTTCTATGATGTATTGAAAAACCTGTTGTCACTGAAATTTCAAATTTCATACACTTAAAGAATTCCACCATTTTAATGTTTTGCTGAATGTGGAGAACCCCTTTAATATTTAACATCAGCTCAAACTTTGGGGATGCCAAAACATAATTAAATGCCTATCACTTTACAGTGGAGTAATTCTGTTTATTTAGATTCCTACTTTTTAAACAAGAATGTTTTTTCTGTAAAATATTGGTTGTCATTTTTAAATAGGCATGAATAACAGCTTGTGTTTTTGAAAACCAGACTCCCCCACCCCAAAATATTTAGTGGTTTTTTCCCCTCCAATGTGATGCTAATAAATGAGCAGAAGGGGAAGAGTGGCTCAAAGAAGCCTCAGGACCAACATTTAAATAACATATAGGTGACAAAAGAAATGTAAAATATTCTCTGTGGTGTATATCTAAACAGGATGGGTGCCTCAACTCCCCTCACGTAATTAAAATGCTGAACAGCAGCACAGGAAGAGTTACTTGAGCCTTTGGTTCTAAAACAGCAATGCTCTGAGCAAAGCCAGGCATTTGTAGGGCTTTGGAACTGAGAGCTGTAACCCACGGGAAGCAGCTGCTGATTTATTCCATCAATCTCACATTTGAAAGCTATCACTTCTCTGGATGCCTCAGGTAGCTTTGTCATATTTCATTTGGTTCTAATTTGCATCCCCATGTTCTGCCCCGAATCTTGAGAGGGGGAAAAAAGGCAGAATAGAGACGAAATGTACATTTTTTTCATTTCACTTTATTAACCCTCCTTATTTTTATTGAGTTTAGGATTCTTTGGAGGGTGGTCACTGCCTGCAGATCTCTGCAGGTTTAATGGCCAGCCCAGGTCATGAGAGCAAACAATCTTTAACAAAAAATAAATACAAATGCAAATCCAGGGGGAAAATCGGTGTCTTCAGTCAAGGTTTCTGCTTGATGGTTTCCATCCTGTTTGGAATTGGTGGCTGAAGGGTTTTAAAGTGAACAGACTGGTGGCACTGGCTGCCATAGGTTTGGAGGACAGACTCAGGACACATGGATGGAGCTCCACATCTGCTTCCATCATTAAATGAGGGGGTAAGTCAAGTTTTTTTTTTTGTTTTTTTGGCTTTTTCCTTTTTTCTTTTTCCTCAGGGTGTTTGATAAACAGTTAATTTATTTCTGTCAGACAGTTGAAGGCAGCTGCTGATCATGTCAAGTTCCTGTTAACACTGAATAACTACTCATTTTGGAAAAGAAATAGCCTTTTGCCCATGATCTAAAATTTAGTAACACTGCCTAATGGCCACAGGAATTATTTTTTTTTGTGGTGTGATTAGAGAAGAAACATTCCAAACCTTGCACATCATGAGGCATCACGTAATGAGGAAGGCTCTGAATACTGATGATACTAAATCATGTGAAGCAGTTGTACAAAATGAGCAGAAAAGCAGGAGGCAGAGATTCTGTTGGAAAGGATTTCTGGGGTGGTAAAAATCTCCTCCATTGGAACTGGGAATTGCTAAAACAATTGCTTCAAGACTGTCTGGAAAGCTGAGACATGAAGGAGAGTTTGACCTGGAGCCTGGGATGCTCAGTCTGTGAAGGGATCTCAGCATTAGAATATTGATTAGGTCTCATTTTGGGCCAAGCCTGGAGTTCTGCAGTTCAGGACAGGGAAATAAAACATGGCAGGGTTGTTACCAGCCCTGCCTCAGCCTCCTGGTCTCATTCTCTCCTGAGAGAATTCAAAACTATTGATTTGTTTCCTCTTCCATTGAAATAACGATTTTGGGAAGAGCTTTCAAAGTCTGGATGAAATGCAGAAATGCAGTGTCTGTCCCCTGAAGATGGATAAACCCTGTTCCAAGGAAGGGACAATTGGTGGCAATTCTGCTCTGCCACAGCTGGGCTTTGCTTCTGGAGGATTTCATCCATCTGAGTGTGCTGGTCTGCCATTTCCAGGTGCTGTGGAGTATTTAGCAGCTATTTTGGGCTGCAAAGCTGCAGTGCTGGTGCTCTGGTACCTGGGCTGCCTGTGTGGTGTGTCTGGGCAAGGGAAGTGGGGTGTGGAAGGCAGATCCTGGATTATCCTTGGGGAGAATCATGGAATCACAGAATGGTTGGGGTTGGAAGGGACCTTAAAGATCATCTTCCACTCCCTGCCATGGGCAGGGACACATTCCACTATCCAGGGTGCTCCAAGCCCTGTCCAACCTGGCCTGGGACACTGCCAGGGACCCAGGGGCAGCTGCAGCTTCTCTGGGCACCTCTGCCA